ATATAAGTGAACAAATAGTTCTGAATAGGTTATTTGAGTTCTTTTTTTAAGCCTCTCTCGTGTGTCGTAAGTTTAAAACGAAGGAAAGTCCTTTCGCCTCTCAATTCCTTCGGCCTGGAATCGATTCCACTGTGTATATGTATATATATAGTGGTCAGATCAGATGCCCGATTTTTTATATTAAGACGCAAAACTCGTTTGACATTTAAGAGTACGCGCCCAGTTAAGTGCACTCTATAAAGCTTGTCTGATTTCAAAATAATTCACCGCCTTTATGCACCACAGATTGTATGAGCATTTATACAATAATTATTCTATACGCAAATTCATAATATATTATAAATAGATATATATTTGCTTGATAGTTGCTTTTTTCTCCAGATCAAGTAACGATAGTAAAGTACTGATATTTTTATACTGGTATAAAAAAGGTATATATAAATTTTTATAAATATTTCTTCTTCTGATTTTCTTTTTGCTTTTTGTATAATTGTACTACTTCCCCCCCCCCTCTTTCCCGGGCCTCGGACTCATTTTTTGACACTTTTTTTCATTTCTTAAATCGAGGTTTTAAATATCATTTCATTTTAGTGAATTCCAAGAGTCTAAAAAATTGGAGTTCGTAAAAATATCGCAAAAAAATTGAAATTCGTTTTTATTAATTGCCAACATCTTTAAATTTGATTATAAATAATTATAGAATTACGAATATTGACGAACGCATATGTTGAGGTTCAATATGGAGATTCTACTCTCCACCTGCGAACGCCAAGGTCACCGCTAGATGGCAGTTGGATTCCTTCTTGGAATTTCTCTTGCCACCTGGTGGCGACCTTGGCGTTCTCAAGTGGAGAGCATTTTTATAAGAAAAAAAAATTTTTTTTATTAAGGTAACGTCAATTTCAATCAGAACCAATAGTCGATAGAATAAAATTAAAAAAAATTAATTTGAATTTAGTGCCATTTTAATTTTCTGTGAATCCCATCATCAAATGGGAGAAAGACTCGTTAATGAGAAAAAAGTTGAAGGGGGGTAGAAAAATAAGAGGCTCGTTGAGATTCATCAATTCGGTTTTTGTTTTTGAAAAATGCTTTTTAAAACAAAAAATAAAATTCGTTTAATATCGGATCTTTTTTTTCTGTCAGAGTATAAATTTAAATGTATATTATTGTTTGTTCATTTATGGTATTTCGGTTGAGGTCGTTTTTTTATATTCGAAGTGAGGAGTTCAGAGAACTCGAAATGAGAATAAGAAACGGGAAGTCGAACAAGTTTTCAAACGTAAAATAGGATTAAAATTTATATTAGAATTATAATTAGGTATGACAAACATATTTCACATTGATAGTGTTTAGATTATGAATAATAATTATAAATAATATTTATAACTATTATCAGTTATAATTATTTTAAGTATAATTATAATAATGTATAAATATTATTTTAAAAAGTTTCTTTTGAAATTTTAGAGTTCAAATTTCAAGAAAATTAAGCGGAGAATCAAAATCAAAAAATTTAAGCAAGAAGAGAATAAACTTAGTTTTCTATTTATTGTTCAAATACTAATCGTTTTGATTGTGATTATAATAAAAAAATGAAAAATATATTTTTCAATCGTGTCACTTTACAGGTGTTTACAAAATTGATAAAATATTTCCACCAGCAAACTATAATCTATTTCACAAGGTTTCTTGTTTATGTAGAAGAATTTAAAATCGGTATAAATTTTCTTGAAAAAAAAAATTCTATCCCCATGGATCAAAACATTTTTATTTAAATTAAATAAATTTTCAAATTATTTTTGATCAAATAATAAATTTGTATTTGGATCAACAAAATTTCAGTACTAAAGGCAGTAACTTTAGTATTTGAAGGAAATAGTACTGGGGTTAGGGAGATGGGAAGAATAGTAGGAAATCACTATTTTTCCTATTCTCTTCCTTTTCACCGTATTGCAAAAGAAAAAATTTCGACTCCTTAATATACATTTTCCTTAACGTAATATCTTATAATTATGAAATAAATATAAGTGAATTATTTTGAAATCTATTAGAATGAAAGTTGTAAAAAATATATAAATGAATTTAATTTACCTCCATCAGAACGCAACTTCTTTTTGTACGCGATGTTTGTTCATCTACTGGAAACGTTAAAATTATATAGAGTGATAAAATCAGTTTGAGGATTAATTAAACTTACGACAGGAGGCAGGAGAGACGAATTGGGAGCAATGAACGTCCCTGACATTTCATACATATATATATATATAGTCTTGAGATATTAATCCTTGGCCAAAATGTGCTTCATAATAATTTCCTTCTTTTTTTGTCTCCTTTTTTTTTTTGTTTGCAAATTCTTTTTTCTCATTTTTAAAATTTACCATTTTCAAAAATATGCCTAATATTTTTACTCTGCTTTTTATAGTTTGTAACATACTATCGATAAAATAAGTTTAGGAAGGAGAAAATAATATGTAATCTTTTGATATAAATCAAGAGAATGATTGACAAACTGTTAATGTGTGTTCTTATATATATTGTATAAAAAGTAATTCAAGTTTCATTAAGAGAAACAGCAAGAGAAGAAGGTTTCGACTTTCAGGAGAAAGTGAGCCAGTTTACAGTGTTGCCAAATTTATAATCCAAATTACAAATTTTAGTATATTCAAAAAATAATATTTTTGTTTCTTCATTTTGCTTTTTTTGTAAATTCTTTTTAAAAAAAACAGGAAATAACGAAATTGTATATATTTTTTATACAATTATCAGACTGTCGTCATTGATAATCATCAAATTTTTTTCTTCTATAATTGTCGATTTCCTTTTGTAAATAGAGATTTAAGTCGTGATAGTCATTTCTGAAGCATTATTACATTGACTCGACAAAAATATTTGTCAAAATTTCGGTAAATGTTCTTGATAACATTTTCTGTACCTGTTCATGTTGTTTCTATAATTATCTTTTATAGTGGAATTAAGAATTACAATGCTAATTAAAATTCCTAGTATGTATTCCTAACTGCTTCCTACTTTGACTATGTTGACTATGTTGACTATGTTGACTATGTCCCATCAGAATAAAAATTGGAATCAACAAAAAAAATTTGAAAAATTAAAAGAGAAACTCCTTTTTTTTGGTGTTATGAATATCAATAATGTGGAAAGTAGTGGTAGTAGTCTTCTAATCGTTTTGATCATTCCCGATATGCAGGTGAACTCGAAGAAAGGCATTAACTAATCTCCAACTTATGTGAAAGGGAGCGACGCTGTAATGTATCCATAATAAATTCAATGTGTTAGACAACTTTATATCTCGAGATAAAAAAAAGAAGAAGAAAAAAAAATGAGAATCATAAAAGAATACCTATTATGTGTATATAGGAAATTTTCACTTTACTCATAAATACCGTACTGATAATTTCTCATTTCTACCCATTTGAGAATCGTGTTTCTTGAATTATTTAAGATAAGCAAAAAAGTGAGCATCGACATTTTTTCAAAAAAAATTTCTGTCACTAATGAATAATAATTTTGAATAAAAGAAGGTAGGGAAAAAATAAAAGAGTAATTTGATATAAAAGGAATTCTCTCTATCAGGTTTATAAGGTTAAGGACATTTTAGAAATTCGAAGACGAAGTATATAATCGACCGTCTGGACGAAAATAGGACGCCATTGTTACCAACCCCCCATCCCTTTGAAAACGTGACTGGCGACGGTCGAATGAATTCTACCAAGCAGGGGGTAAACTTCTCTCTTCTGTCTCTGCCAATAAGAGAGTGTCTGGTTCGCCACGACGCTTCAAATTATCTGAGTTGCAACATTTATAATGAAACGAACATGTCCTTTATCTCTCCCTCTCTCTCTCTCTTCTCCTCTCTTCTGAATTAAATCAAATTTTAACCTTAACCTTTTATATTGACTCTTGATTCTATTAAAGAATTGGTAAATTGATATTATTTGGTAATCAATATAGTACGATATGCTAAACAGTATACAACCGTTAGTATATTACTAAACCTAATTTAGTAGTAAGTACATTTTTTTTAATAGCAAATTATAGCCTTGTAACAAAAATTTTGTTAATTTGAACATCTTGAGGTTCAATATGGAGATGCTACTCTTCACCTGCGAACGCCAAGGTCACCGCTAGATGGCCGGTGAGTTCTTTCTTGGAATTTCTCTTGCCACCTGGTGGTGACCTTGGTGTTCTCAAGTGGACGACTATCGGCTAAGTTCGTTTTTTCCTTATAACTTTTTCAAAACAAAATTTTTTGATCAAATTATTTTTAAGAATAATCATAAAATTAATCGTAATTTAACCTAATTTTAAAAAAAATAGACGTACTTTATATTTAGGATAATATATTTTTCAGTGCTTCCTTTTAATGTCTGCCTTTTTCCCCTTTTACTGAAACATCTAAGCGTCGCAAATATGACCGTAAATCTTCGTGACACGCTTTAATCTTTTCTCTTTCTCTAAAAGAAAAAAAAAACAACTGCAATAAATACTTTTGCAAATACGTTTACCTCTCTTTCCGAATCACATTCCAGAAATTCAAATACATCATAATAAAATTAAATTTCTAGAAAATACCTATTCTAATTTCTAAAATGTATTTTCTATTTTTCAAATCGGACATTTATTTATTATAATTTCTGTTTCATAAAATCTGTTTTTGTACTTTATACTCTTATTATTAGTTTAATTACTATTGCTTTTCGTATTTTTATTATTTATATTATTAAATATAAATAAAATAAATAATTAAATATTTTTGCAAGTCGTAAATTATATATAAAAATGATGTTTAAATAATAGCAAAATAAAGAAATAAATAAAATATAAATTATTATCAATATATTATGCTATTATTATACTGTCTAGATTTTGCAAATACAAAATTAATTTATCGTGAAATATTTTCAATATTAAATTTTTTGTTGTACATTACGAAGGAAATATTTTAGTTTTTAATTGAATTTTTCTTTTTGTTTCAGAATCAGCTCAAACAGAAACCAACGATAAAGTTCCTAGGAAATGAAGGGGTGAGTTTTAATTGATTTTACAAATTTTCTCAAAAACAAGTATAGAGAAACTATAAGCGGATTGAAAGTTTTTATTCGCAACACGTTAAAAAAAATAAATAGTAATAAATAATAAAATAACGATCGATTGCTTTTAATTTAATATAATAAAAGATGCGTTGTTATATACTTGGAACAAAAAGGACAAAAGCATTTGTAATTTTGTAATTATTACTGTATATTTATATACAGCTTACCTGTTGACAAAGTAAGTTCAAAATCTGCTGGGCAATCAAGCGCACCGAGTAATTAACCTCATTAATTTGACTCTCGCCAACGAACGTTTGTAATTCGTATAGCCTTGCGTATTGAAAAAAAAAGACATTTTCTGCAAATTTCTTGACACTATTATTTAAAAATATGTGAACATTCACTATTATTTACAATAATTATTGCGTGCACTAACACCTATTGTTATTAAACAATTTCCGAAAAGTAAGAAAATTGTGTATATATTCATAAATATTTTAATTATTGACCATTATTTAATTCTGTAATAAGCTCTTTCAAGATTTGTTTTTAAAAACGAATTTCTTTTCTTTAAAACGTCTATTATTTCTTATATAATTTCTGGAGAAATTAATTTTATTTACTTCAGTAAAATATATAATAATATGAAATTTACTCTGAATATACAGTAAAAATTATTTCGAATCTAGTGAATCTAGATTAAATATATAAAATATATTTAAAATATAGTAAAATTTACTCTCAATGCTGTAAAAGTTATTTCGAATGTATGGTAAATTTTACTTATATTGTAAAAATTAGTCAGAATATAGTAAAAACTAACGGAGTAAATCTAATACTTCTAGTATGGTAAAAATTACTTTATTCCCTTTTTTCGTTTGTTTAGTTGTTTTGTGTTTGCTACAGTATATCAAAAATGTTATATTACAAAATTCTCTATTATTGAAATGAGACAAAAGAAAATTGTGGGCTACTATAATTAGCCTTGAAAACTTGAGGTATTACTTTGAAACAAGATGAAGTAATTTCTTTGTGACTTTGAGGAAAAAAAAGTGAGAGTAAACTGAAAACCTTGAGATATAGGAATCGAATCCCTTGCATACAAGGGATATGATAAATATTTTTTCTTATATCCGAAGGTTTTTTTGTTGTCGAAGGCGATCGAGGTCGTTTGTTACTTGTCGCAAGGCTTTTTTCATTTTCTTTCAAAAAATTTTCCAAGAAAAATTAAACATAAGCTTTCCTACTTAAATCTTTTTTACTTTCTCCCGTTTGCGGGCAACGAATTTTTCTGCCATCGCGTCGGTATGTAGTTACTCTGCCATTATGCGGCGTGAAATTCAAATTTTGTAGCTACTGTAAACAGTAAAAATTTGATTTTAAGGAGAATTTTAAAAGTCAGAAAAACATTTGAAAATAGAACGACTTTTTTTTTGTCCCAGGGTTTTTTATTTATAAATTAATAATTGTTTCCACATAATCATGACTTATCGTGGAAATAATTGCAAGAGGAAATATATATATATTTCTTTTATAAATAATAAAGAAGAAAATAAATAAAATTGTTTGTAAATAAAATATTGTATTGTTCTTATATTGTTTGCTATTTAATTATTACTGAAAATTGTTTATTTATCCATTTTGTATACATTTTGAATGATACGTAACTAAAGAGACAATTTTTATGTTTATTTTCTCCTTTTTTCGTTCTAATTATTAAAGAAAAAAACAAATCGTGAAGAATAATTTGTATTAAAATTTCTAAGTGAAAAAAAAAAATTTGATAGCAATTCAAATTTACTTATGAAATAGTAATTATTTTTCTTTTACGAAGACACAAAAAAAAGATGAGTTTTATCTGACATGCATTATTCAAATGTCGTGACTTTATTTTAATTTGAATTTATTATTTCTTTTTGATGAGAAATATATATTATGGATATGAGAAAGAAAAATTGTTGAGTTCAGTAATAATAATTTATTTGAAGTTGAGAAAAATTTACATTGTCAGGAATTATATATGTATATATAGTTAAACGAACGCTATCACAAGTTTTTCGTGATTCTCTCTTTTTCATTGCAATCTTTTATAATGGAGTTGATTTTAAGTGACGTACGCCAGGATCTAAGAAATCATGGTTGATGACGACCTTTAGGAATATATAAGATTAAAATGAAGTGTTTGCTTAGGGCCAAATGGATAATTCTCAATATTATTCAATAAATTCACTTTCCAGGCGGATTTCAATTTAATTCCAGGTTTCCTTTGAATATTTATTTTCTTCTTGTTTATTTGTTTTACAGACAAAATTAGCATACGTTTATTTGGTTGGTTTCGTTTATTTATTTGACTTGATTTGTCTTCGCATTTTTTTTTTATTTTTCGTTTCATATTTTATTCCTTCTTTTCTCTCATTCGTTAATTTTTCTTCTTTTCGTAATTAATTAATTCATTCATTATTAAATTATTTTAACAAAATTAAAATACATTATTCTAATTAATTAAATTTTTTATCTATTTGTATACTTAAAACGGGTTAACAAAAAGAAAACTTCTCCAATTCATTCAATTTTAATTAAATTTGTTATTTTATTGTATTTTCTTTTAATATTAAACTTAATCAAAAATTAATTGCTACATTTTTCTATTTGAATAAAAAAAACCAACTTTTTAAAAAATTTTTTGGGAAAGTGTGAATATTTTTATACTTGATTCATGTTGAAAAATTAATATTTGACATTGAATAAAAAATTGAAAAAATTTTCTAATATTAAGAAATGATAAAAGTAGATTATGTTAACAAGGCTTTTCGTAACTTCAGTTAATTTTATTCAATGATAATTTTTAATTTAAAGTAAAGTCATTTTTTTAGTTTGAAGTAAAATTTTAATAAATTAAAAAGTATATTTTACTAATTTTTAACTGTAATATGAAGATTTATTTTTTTAAACTGAATCTCCTTTTTGAAAATTAAAATCCCCTTTTTTATCTAATTTTTATAAATAAATATATCACTAAAAAATCACTGCGCGATTCGTGCATTAATTAATAAAATGAACGTTTTATTGTAAAAAGGAAAGAAAAAAATATCCCGAGTGTAGTATTTTTATAAACCGATATAATATATAGTAATTTGTTCGTGAAATAATTTAAGTCTTTAAAATTCAAGTTGTTTGACGTATATAGTTATTCTTAGAAGTGGTTGTCATTCTTCGCGGGGATTCCCCTCGTGTTTTCTATTCCTTCCACTTCCTTCAGGCTTCTTCTCTTCCATCTTAATTCTCCATCAACTCATAATTTTCTTCTTCTGCTCTTTTATAAATAATCTGTTCAGAATAATATAAAAAAATGTCCATTAGTTAAACAAAAAGCAATACTAAATTTTTATTATTTAAAAATTATACTAATTTTCATTCTAAAAAATATGCTATAATTTTATAATTACAATTTTTCTAAGGATATCAAATTGAGACAAAAATATCAAAATTATTATTATTCATTTATAAAATTATTGTGATGCAACGTTTTGATACGTTTGTTTCAATTTGATATCCTTAGAAAAATGGTGTTATAAAAAATATATACTGAATTTTTATTATATAAAAAATACACTGGATTGTTGTTATACAAATTCTGAATTTTTATTAGATAAAAAAATTGTATTTTTATTCTATAAAAAATATGGAAAATAATTTTAATTATATAAAAAAAAAGAATTATACAGTAAATTAATCGTGATTTAAACTAATAAAGTGAAATAAATTTTCTAACAAATTTAAAAGTTCGTGGCCATAGTGAAGTTTTTGAACTAATCAGAAAACAGAAAGTTTGTACTCTATGCATATCAAAAGGGCGATATTTCGAAATATAGAAGTTAAAGTTTAGTGATTATCAAGCAGAGTCTGCGTCGTCGTCGGGTGTTTGTGAGTGAGTGAGTGTGTGTGTGTGTATTTTCAACCGTGTGCCGAGTGAAAGGCAACAATGTGAAGGCTTGCTCACTATATATTACAACCACTAACACATATTTTGTCGCACTTATCGGGACGTGAGGCGCACCAATACACGAAAAGCAAAGCGGTCGCTGCCGCCGGTCGGTCGGTCGGTTCTCCGGGATACGAGATATACGTCAGTCGCAAGGACGTCTGCTAAGTGAGGAAATTATGCTAGAATAATTGCCGAACCACAAAATTATATGCCCAGACTCTATAAACATGAAAAAGATCAGATTATATCTTCCCACTTGTAAATCGCATTTTTCTTTCTTCCTTTTTTTCAAAAAAAAAAAAACCAAAATTTACTTTTTTCGGCTTTTTTTAATTAGACTCATGAAGATGCTGTTTAAAACAGAGTTTTTACTTTGGATAAAAAATATACATTATTACTTTGAATACAGAGAAAATTTTTACTTTGAATTCAAAGAAAAAGTCTTCACTAAAGTAAAAAAAAATGATATTTAAAACAAATAATCAGAGTTAACCGCACAAAATCAAAAGATTGGAAATAACAAATTTTTTTTTATTTTAACAAAAAATCTTTTTTTCCTTCAAAATATTATTCAAAACCAGACAATTTTTTATACAGACCAGACAAATTTTTGTTTTTTTTTATTGTATAAACCGCAGGTGTGTGTGCTCGTGCACCTGAATTTTGTTTTTTATGTCTATTACAATATAGTGATGTATAAAATTATAATTTTAATGAGAATTAATTTCTCCTGATGATAAGAGTCGGCGTCAAAATAAATACAAATTTGCTTCTTGTAAATTTAAAATGACAAAAAGTAATTTCTTGAAATTAAATTTTAAATAACTGTATATTTAAACCGTTTTTGTGTATAAAATACAAAAGTAAAAAGTTCCCTGAATTTAAATTAACAAGGAAAACTTTATCAAAAAAAAAAGAAAGAGAAAAAAATGTTTTTCATGATAAGGAAAAAACACAAATGGAATTTTCCAGTCTATCATTATTATAACACTTTTAGATCACGTTA